TAAGATACAGTTTGCATTGGCGATCTCGAGCAGGCTACTAAAATATACCCCCNGTCACAGTGTCTAAGGCAGGCATGACCAACCTTTTTAAGTTTGCGGGCCATTTGTCATTTCAGCAAAACTTAGACGGGCCGCATATCTATGAAAATTCACATTTTGAAAATTTTTTAATAATCTAACTTAAATCTACCCATATTATAAACATTATTAAATGTGTTATCTATCTAAAATCTACCTTTATTGTAAACATTATCAAAAACCTACTTAGATTGTAAACATTACCAAATATGGTCATAAACGAGCGGGATTAAAGGTGATAGAAAACATTGATACTCTAAATAAATATAAACACAAACATTTGCCTACTATTAATTGATGCGTCCTTTGCACACTTGAGTCAGTTAGTTTCCTGCTTATAATGTGAAAGCGACTATATTCCAGTGAAAGTGATATTTAAGTGCATTGAATTATTGGTAATAAAAATTTATTCATTATAAATAAAAATTTATCATTATTAACGAATATTTATTATTTAAAAATAATTTTTTTTAGCTCTGTGATAAATACTCTAATATAAATGTGTGAAACAAAAAAAAAATACGTAAAATTTCCGAAGAAAATCGTCATTTTCAGGACATTTGGATGTATAAATACTTTTTCATTCAATTCAACGAGAAACCAACTTGTCTTATTTGTCGTGAATCTGTGGCTGTTTATAAAGAATTTAATATTCAGAGGCATTATGAAACCAAACACAAATCAAAATATGAAAGTATTAAAGATAAGGCTCGCGAATCTAAATTGGAGTTATTAAAAAAAAAATTCGCGGACGAGACAAGCGCTGTCAAAAGTATGTTTTCGCGACAAGTAAAAGGAAAGGACGATATCGTTACAGCAAGTTATAAGATTGCAAATCTTATTGCGAAAGACCAACAAGCGCTTAATAGTGGCGAGTTTATTAAAAAGTGCATCATCGCAGCTATTGAAGAAATCGCTCCTGAGAAATGCTCTGCATTCAAAGAAATAAGTCTATCTCGGCCCACCATTACTCGTCGCATTGAAGACATTGGTAAAAATTTACAAGATCAGATGCAAACAAAAGCAGAACAGTTTTCTTTTTTTTCCTTGGCTTTGGACGAAAGCACGGACAATCGTGATACAGCGCAATTACTCATTTTTGTGCGGGGAATAGATCGAGAATTTACAATAACTGAAGAGCTCGCATCTTTACAGAGCATGAAAGACCGCACATCTGCAGATGACCTTTTTGAAGATGTTTTGCAGTGCATAACAAAGTTGAATTTAAATTGGAAAAATCTTTGCGGACTAACAACAGATGGTGCACCAAGCATGATTGGTTCAAAAAATGGATTAGTCACAAAAATTTTGCATCAAATGGCCACTCAAAATTTAGAACAGCCATTGCCTGTTCATTGCATTATTCATCAGCAGGCGTTATGTTGCAAAGTACTCGAAATGGACCACGTCATGAATGTTGTTAGAGACATTGTGAACTTTATTCGTTCCCGTGGCTTGAATCATCGGCAATTCCAAGCATTTTTGGAAGAAGTCGGTAGTGAATTTTCCGATGTTCTTTACCACAACCAGATACGTTGGTTAAGCCGAGCCCAAGTATTATCAGGCTTTTTTAATCTTCTTGCTGAGATAGAGATTTTTATGGAGAAAGGAAAAACATTCGTTCAACTTTCTGATTCATTGTGGCTTTGGGACTTAGCCTTTTTGACCGACATATCTAATCATTGCAATGATTTAAATTTAAAACTACAGACACAGGGCAAATTCATATTTGAACTCTTAAATGACGTGTCCGCTTTTGAGCTGAAACTAAATCTATTTAGTAGACAAATTGAAAATAAAAATTTTATACACTTTAATTGCTGTAAAAAAATACAAGAAAAGAAGTTTTTTAATTTTTCAACAGTAAAATTTGTAGACTTGTTGGAAAAATTAATAACAGATTTTCATACACGGTTTAAAAAACTTAAAGAATAAAGTATGTTGTTTCGATTGATTGAAAATCCTTTTCAGATGGATGAAGCTGTAGTTCAGGAAAATTTTCAAATGGAAATAATAGAACTGAAAACTAATACTTTACAGAAGGACTTGTACGAAGAAAATCGAAAGAATTTACCAAACTTTTACAAAAATCTTGACGACGATAATTTTCCTGAATTAAAAAAACTGGCTCAACGTGTTTTTACAATGTTTGGATCAACATATCTGTGTGAACAAACATTTTCAAGGATGAAATGTATTAAAAGCAAAGAAAGATCTCGCCTTACAGATGATCATCTTCGTTACTTACTAAGGGCTGCCACTACAAAATTTGAACCTGACATCAAGAAGTTGGCGCTACAAAAACAACCTCAAGTTTCACACTGATTTTAACTTTGTATTTGAATTTTTTTCTGACATATTTGAAATAAAGCATTTATCAAATTTTTCTACTGTTTTATTCAAATTCTAAATTAAACTATGGGCCGCATAGAACAGTGTCGTGGGCCGCACGTTGGTCATTCCTGGTCTAAGGTAAGATACAGTTTGCATTGGCGATCTCGAGCAGGCTACTAAAATATACCCCCCCTCAAAAAAAAAAAACGGTAGCACAGTGGGGTCGAGGCACAGTGTGGACGAGGCATAGATGGGACAAGTATAGATGATATCTGACAGTGATTAAAATCACTATCATAAGAAACGCTTCGATGCAAATCTGTAGATAGTGTTTCCTTTAGAGAAATTGGTGAAATATTTTAAAAGCAACATGAACTCTTATTTCTTTAATTATATCCTGATTAGTAGTTCTTTGATTTTAAAATATAATATATGAATAAATACTAATTATAGTTTTTAAATTTAGTATGAAATTGTGAGGCCAGCTATGATGTATGGTTCATAGTGTTGGGCGGTTGATAAGAAAGTAGAGCAGAGAATAAGTGTAGCAGAGATGAGAATGCTTAGTTGGATGAGTGGAGTGACTAGAGAAGATAGGATAAGGAACGAGCATATAAGAGGAAGTATAGGTGTTGCGTCAATCGTGGATAAGATGACAGAAAATAGACTTAGATTGTTTAGTCATGGTATGAGGAAAGAAGAATCGAAAGCTGTAAGAACAGTTATAGAAATGAATGTTGAAGGAAGAAGAGATAGAGGAAGACCAAAAAAGAGATGGAGGGATGCTATTGAATGCGATTTGAGGACAGCTGATGTGAGCGTAGAAGATGTGGGAGATCGTGTCAAGTGGAAGCTTAGGATAAGGGTGGCCGACCCCAAGTAGTTGGGATTAAGGCAAAGAAAAAGAAAAATATTACCAGATATTCCGGTGGCAATTGACATAATATGATTGTTGTTTGGGAATGTACAATTTAGCGTTTAGTTGGGTTTAAACAATATAGTGTCAAATTAATTACCTACTCTATCGCTTGTATATTAATATACACTACACTTTAATGATACTATAAATAAATAAACTCACACATACACACATATGCATTTATAACATTGTGTCTAATGTAAGTATAACATGATAAAAAGTAACCGTAAAATGAAAAAAATGGAATATAAATTTTAGTACTCATATTAAATGTAATGTAACTCGAAAAATATTTGTTTAAATGAAAAAATATAAGATAATATTTTTATTTATAATTGTCTTTTAAACAACTTTTGTACGAAACTTTTTTTTGTAAGTTAAATATTTTTTGAAAAAATTAAAAAAAGCTCATATTTTTGAACTTTTGCAATGCTATAAAAAAAAGCTCAATTCCAATAAATGAGGTCTATTAGTATGTCATTATACATATTTTAATTTAACTTACAAAAAAACAAAATTTGGTTGGGAATTTTTTCCGCAATTTTCCTTTGTTGACTGGCCTAGATGTCAATTTTAAACTTGTAATTGAGCTAAAAGTTATGGTAATATATTCAATTTTTTTTACTATAAACTTTCATAAATCTTTATCAAAAATTTTTCATCAANTTTTTTACTTTAAACTTTCATAAATCTTTTATAAATTCACAAAATTTTTCATCAACTTTAAAGAACGAAAAAAATAGGTTAAAATTGAAAATTTGGACTGATTATTTTTAACATATTAAAAATCAAATCAGTAATAATTTGAAAACAANTTTTAACATATTAAAAATCAAATCAGTAATAATTTGAAAACAAATTTTTTTTTCTTTTAATTATTATTTTATATGTAATTAGTAATAATATAAAAAATTAGAAGTGATAGAAAAAGTCTACTTGCAGATTTGAAAACAACACGAAAAGTTGATTTAGAAAAGTATATTTTTGCTTCTGATGAAAGTTCCTTGATGTCCAGTGCATTTATTTATAGTAACAAACAGTTTTTATTGAAAATTATTGTATCAAGCCCTTTAAATTTTAATACAAGTAAAAGTAAAGCAAAATATAACTTCTTTATTATTTTTATAATTTATCCGTTTAAATTACAACATTAATTATCAATTTCATACTAAATTTAATAATTATAATTAGTATATATTCATATATTATATTTTAAAATCAAAGAACTACTAATCATGATATAATTAAAGAAATAAGAGTTGATGTTGCTTTTGGAATAATCCACCAATTNATAAGAGTTGATGTTGCTTTTGGAATATTCCACCAATTTCCTACTTTAAAAAAAAAAAACATTTGGTTGGGAATTTTTTCTGTTATTCGCTGAAATTACTCCTTCGTTGACTAGAATAAATCATTAAATAGAAAATTTGATGAGAATTAAAACAATGTTATTTTTAAGATTAATATGCAGTCAGAAAGTTTTATAATTACTATTTATTGTAAATTTATCAGAAAAACTCATTATTTTTTGCATTTTTATCGTAATAGAACACTTAAATAGAAATCATAGTAATCATTTCTAAGTAATTTTTGATATTTAAAAAGATTCTACAATTGAAGTATCCAGAACTGAATTATTTTTAATGATTTACTATAACTAAAAAAAAAAAGTTATCATTTTGAATCCCTCTTGTGGGCAGGTAAAGGGTTAGATTTATAAAAATAAAATTATACTGATTTGGTCATTTTTGATAAAGTTTAACAGTTAACAAAGTTATAAGTTTTATACTCTGTACTACAAGGAACTTTCATCAGAAACAAAAATATAATATTCTAAATCAACATTTCGCGATGTTTTCAAATGTGCAATTAGACTATTTCTATCACTTTTAAGTTTTAATATTATTAAAAAGATAGTATTTACATATAAGAAAAATAATTAAGAACAAAAAAAATTGTTTTAAATTAATACTGATTTTGATTATTAATATGTTAAAAATAAGGAAAATGACATATTTAACCTATTTTGTTAATCGNAAGGAAAATGACATATTTTACCTTTTTTTATAATTGTTTAAAGTTGATTGTTTATAATAAAAAAAAAATAATTTATTTTACCATAACTTTTAGCTCAATTGACAAGTTTGACATTGACATCATAAAATAGAAAATCTTGTGACAATTAAAAAAATTGTATCGTTATGATCAATATGCAATTAGAAAGTTTTATAATTACTATTTATTGTAAATTTATCAGAAAAGCTCAATATTTTTTTGCATTTTTATGGTAATATATAACTTAAATAGAAGTAATAGTAATAATTTCCTAGGAACTTTTGTTGTTTGTTGAAAAGATTCTATAATTGAAATANATAACTTTTGATGTTTGAAAAGATTCTACAATTGAAATATTGAGAACTTAATTAATTTTAATGATTTACTTTAACTAAATGTACAAATCAAAACTAAGTTGTTAAAAAGATTTACTCAATTGAGCGTATTATAAAATTTGTAAATATTTGAAAATATCAATTGTTAATTCAGGAGAAAAAATAATCATTTCTAAAAAAAATGATTATTTAAGTTAAAAAAATTATTAAATTACAAAGTAAAATGATTTAATTTTGTAGTTGAAACCTATTATATCAAACTTAATTCGTTAATAAATATTTTGAAAACATTAGAAATTAATGATTTTAATTGTCTTTATGGAGACGATGTAATAACTAACTGTTTAATTGATAAATTAGAATTTTTTTTTCAATTTTTGAGAGTAATATCTTCAACTAGATACGAATTGTAGT